AACGGTTTAACACCTCATCGTAGCTGGGAGGTGTTCCAGTATGTCGGACTGCGATGTACAGCGGAGGATTCATCCCCTGGCAGGGTCTCCCAAGCTGGAAAGGAGTCCGGCGTTTCCATCAGGAAGCCTAGCTAAGAGTAGACCAATACCAGGATCCACCACCGACCTGGCACAAAAGTCGCACGGTGGGAAATCTCCCCTTGATCCATAAGGGCTTCGACTGCCTGCGGTGGTGAAGATCTGGGGCAGACTTTGTCCAGACTGACCTCGGGATTCCAGGGAACCACAATGGCTTAACCAGCAAATCTCCGAAAAATGGAGATTATACTGGAGACCGCACAACCAGTAAGGAGGGCCCACTTAAGTGTCAAGTTTACTTCACAACTTAAAACTGAAGTACCAACTTATCTAGTCTTACCATTAATTATCAAAACTCTTAAGTCAGTATCCACTGAAGGTCTATAGTGGACCGACCCCTCAACCTTCAAGGTTAGATCCATCGTCGGTTGTGTGGCTCGGCCCCACCGATTGAATGGATTGCTATATAAACCTAATAGTCATCCAGTTGCTGAAACACATCCCGGCCAATCACGCACAGCCAGGAGTTCTTGGATCGCCTACGTAACCCGCGCCTTAACAGCGCGTATGCGATTGAGACTTTCGAAATCATGATCACGCATGACATCGCGTCATACTTCAAGCCGAATTTTCGAACTGAACCTGGCACATTCCTTACCCATATAAGAGACTTTGAGCGGCTGATCTCCAACAAAAACTGCAAGACTCATGAAGAACAAACGGCGATTGTTTAAAAGACGCTGCTTACTGTGCGAATGAAATATATGTGGTTTTTTCTGCTTTAACGAGAAAATTGTTTGGCTGATTATTGTGTTTATCAATTTAACTCCTCCAAGGTCCAAAGAATTGGAAACCGCCGAAACAGCAGTTGTTATGAACAAATAGTGTATTATAAATACTTACTTGGATACTTGGACAGTCCGCCCTCACTGGTTGTGCGGGTTCTAGCATATTCTCCATTTTTTGGAGTTTTGTGGTTCAGGCATAGTTTCTCTGGAATCCCGAGACCAGCCTGGCTAAAGTCTGCCCCAGGTCGTCACTACTACAGGCAATCGTGGCCCTTGTGGATAAGAGGGAGATTTGCCACCACGCGACAAGTTTGATACCAGGGAGGTGGTGGATCTAGGTATTGGTTTACTCTAAGCTGGACTTCCTAATGGAAACGCCGGACTCCTTCTCAGCTTGGTAGACCCTGCCGAGAGGATGAAACTTCCGCTATACATCGCAGTCCGACACTAGGAACACCTCCCAACTACGGTAAGGCGGTAAACCGTTGAGGGGTACATTATATATCCATATATATACATATATTATATATGTAAATAATATGCACATATATGCATACATATATATACGTATGTGTACACTAAATATATATATATATATATATGCATACGTATATGTGAATGTGGTGTATTGGCAAATAACAAACACGCACCGTTTAGCGTGGTTATTCGAATGAGCAGGGCATAAAAATGAGCGCTTTCTATGAGACGTGCCCACAAATCTTTTCTGCATAGTTTATTCTTGATAATTTCAGCTCTGCAATCTGGCAACCAACCATCGTGACTTGTTTACCATCGCACCAAATGTATCTGAGTGTTCTTGCTATTTATACGCAGTTCTATCCCTTTTCCATTTGATTTACCTAGAATGGTCTGTCTTACTGGGTTTCCTCGAAAAAATGACGATGTCACCAACAAAACGAAGGTTTTCTAGGATTTACCGCTACAGTTTGAAAATCCTCCTTGAAATAGAACCGCCACATCGGAGTCTTTCGTCATGTGGATGGTAACGGGTCGATTCATGGTTAGCTGTGTTATCAATCGGCAGGAGTTCTTTTGTAGAAACGCAGGCATTACGTTGGCTACAAACGCTGATGGAATGGCACATGTTTCGGAACTGCTGAATGTTTCTTCGTAGTTACCGTTAAAACAAATTGGATGTGTTGTTTTAGACGGACTTACATCAATATATGTACGGCTTGGAAGTAGTTCACTTTAATAAATCACTGTCAATCGATATTCCACTTGTAAAACTGACACAGCTTCATCCTTCCACATACATCAGGGCACTCTTCGTATAGAATTTCTATAGCATAGTCGACGAGCACTTAGGAGCGTTCCAAGAAGTCGTCTAATGGCATACAATTCTGAAGATATGCTACGTGGGTTGCAATCCATGCCTGCAATTCAAGCTACCAATTCGGCTGTAACTGGCTGTGATTTCGACTTTTCTGGATCTGTGGCTTTTTAATGTGTACCATGAGAATTACAGTCGCATAACTTATCGTCCCGTTGATCGTCGGGTAACTCGAGCGGGCACCACCAAACCTTCCATTTCTCCCCGTCGCGTACAAGAGTAGCCTTATGGGTTCTGCTCGCTCTAGGAAGTTGTTGAATAGGTATATGTCCAATCAGCAGTAGGAATCCTATTTTTTGGATCCATCTGTGTCTCAGAGAAGCATAATATCATTTTTGGCTGGCGATTAACACCCTATGTGCCGGCTGAGAACGCGATATGTTGCCTCACGAGTAACCGGCAGACCATTATGAGGGAGATCCATGGATATACATACGCCCATACACATAAATCGATGAAACAAAAGCTCTTGTAAAATCCTACCACGTTTTCAACTCTTAAAGTCCTCCAGTTCTTGGAGAGTTATCGCCTATTATCGGGAAATTAACAAGTCAATGAACCGACATGAAATCAGGCGTGGTTCCATGCGGCGGCTTCAAAGGATTCGGCGTAGGACTGTTCTAGCGGTAATTTTTGCTACAAATCAGAACGAAAGATGCTCTGGGAGATATACATCTTGCCAAATGCTTAGCTTGAAAGTTCAACCTCAAAGTCACAGAAAGACTGGCAGGATTTCCTGAGTATTTCAACGAGAGAAAAAATCAGCTTGTAAATGACACCGACCAAAGTGCCAATTTGATTGAGACATATGTCACCATCGAAGTAAAAACGAATGTGAAGCCTACTTTGAGCAATTGGCGCTTTAGTGGACTCAACGAACCCAAAAGCACGTTCATAAACGCCCAACGAACGACACAACGCGGCAAGCGACGCGATACTCGCGAGCTCACAGGCGCCGAGCTCAGTGCGGCAGTACGATCAACCTCGAAAATGGAGGAAAGAAGAGAGGAGGAAATGAGGCCGCAGGAAGAGAAGCGACTACAACACAAACTAATCAACACAACCTCTGAACAACAGTTATGTGATTAATTCGTTAAGAATCCCACTAATATGTTTCGAATACCATGAAAAACGTATATGCTCGAAGGTAATGTGGCCGTGCAACGATAAGAAATTGTTAGCGCTAAACATCTTAACCATGAGCAATATGAGCAACAGATTCAATAAAATCAACCATGAAATAGCGCGCTCCATTTAGCATACAGGCAAGTCAGTAGCGACCTTTAAATCGCTTTCTCTACCGTAGAGCGCATTATTCGTTACGTCTGCCTTTGGACCTATCATTTTCGCTCTTCAGTGTTCCTAATATCTAGGAAGTGCGTAAGTCTTCATAGCGTATTTTTTTTGATGAATCGCCGTTACATTTCCTCGTCCACTGAAGCTTTTTTCACGATATCAGCTGGGGTTCTACCTAGGCCTGCCGATTATGAGCGCTTCCTGTTTTTTCTTTAGCTACTTAGCAGTCAGAGGATTTTGAAGCATCGCTTTTTGTCATCAAAGCTAGCACTAGTGATTCTTTGTATCAATGTCATAATGATGTAATTGTTGGGAAAATAAGGGGAAAATGTTTTGGGGTTGATCAATCTTCTAGGGATGCGCTTTCAGTACATCTCTATTTAGCATCGTAGATATTATTGAATGCGTATTTGGCCCATACATCGGCTATCAAGTGCCTAAGGAAGTATAAAGTCGGTGAATGCATGACCCCAGACATGTCCAGTGTTAATCCTCCAGCCTCGGAGTGTGGAAGTGAATGAAGTGTCATATGTGCCATATGGGCCTCGTAGTTGTGTTGCACAAACAATGGCGCAGTAACGGAATCAGTGAGCAGATTTTACGTAAAAATTAAAGATTACTTGGATACTTGGATGGTCCGTCCTTGCTGGTTGTGCGGCCCCCAGCATAATCTCCTTTTTTTCGGAGTTTTACTGGTTTAGCCATTGTGGTTCCCTGGAGACCCGAAGTCAGCCAGGCCAAAGTCTGCCCCAGCTCGTCACCTCCACAAGCAGTCGCAGTCCTTGTAGATCAGAGATTTCATGCGATTAGTTTGATACTAAGACGGTGGTGGGTCCTGTTACTGGTTTACTCTTAGCTGGGTTTCCTAATGTAAACGCTGGTTTCGTTTTCATCTTGGGAAACCCCGCCAGAGGGATAAATCCTCTCGCTGTACATCACACCCCAACGCCCAGGAGCACCTCTCAGCCACGATCAGGCAGTAAACCGTTGGGAGGTCCGTAATGAATTACTAAGATTAAATGAGGAACAAAAAAGATGTTACATAAGTCATACCCAATTAGGAAGAGTTATGATAACTTGGAAGCGTAGGAAGATTCGAGAAGGGGTGACTCTATGACTGAGAATCAGTTTCTTTCATACTGCTCCAGAATATATAAACATGTTTACTGCTTATCTGCTCATTGTAGCTCAAAGTTTTTAAGGTGAATGCTGAGACGTGCGGCAAATGAGCTCTTCTCAGCAACAGCGCGTGGTCGTCCCCTTGCATTATTTAGGTGGGGGAAGAATGCAGACGATTCTACCTCTCTGTTCTGTTTATGAAGTCTTGATAGCAAGTAGAGAACTGTAGCTGTAGTGAGGTGCTTCTTGGTCATCAGTGCTGCCACTCCAACCAAGCTTGTTCTGCTAGTTCACTTTTGTCAACTAATAAATATTGTTCGTTTTATTATTATTCATCGTCTTATCTTATACCCTTTATTTCAAAAATGCCCATAAAGTATGATAAATGTTTGAGGGATAACGACATTTTGAGGGAAAAAATCTGTTGTTTGTACTAATATTTCTAGTAACTTATTTATTTTGGGCAGTAGAGCATGGTGCTAGTTCGATTCCACTCCGGACCAACCAAGTCTCTCATCCTTCCGGGGTCGGGAAATTGGTACCGGACTTGTTCGGGAAAGGATCACTCTTTGCAATCCATTTGGGAACTTTCCAGCCCGGCTATCTTCTAACTCCAACGAAAATTGACTCGTCCAACATTCTACGACATTCAAGATGAAATGGAAATACTCAAGTAGCTGCCGTAACCACACGAAGTAGTCTTCATGTATGATGGATGCGAGGAAACAAATAGAATGTGAGAAGTGCTGAGACCCGCACTGTAGACGTGAAGACGGATCATATAGGAAGAAAAAAGAGATGGCCATATTTTCGCTTTATCAAAAATCTCAAAGTGAAATGGAACCGCAATGATGTTTAGGTATGAGACTCCAACTCCGAACCCACTTCAGCTTCAAACCTGCGGGTACGAAGCTGAACTGGGGATTGCGTGATTTTAAGAGCCCTTTTAGAAAAATATTTTCATGGAAGCATTAAGAATGGCGAGTTGTTCCACCTTATCAATTATTAGGCCCATTTATCATGTTTTGAGTTCTCAAGATTTTTTTTCCGAAGTAAGTACTTTGATAAAGTTGCCTGTTACAGTTACTAAGTACAAGTGTTACAACCATCCTATTTTGTTGAAGCTTGCCTATGCGTGGTTAACATAAATGTGGACATAAGCCGTCGTTTAGGCTCCGTAGCCCTCGGACCTGTGGGTTCTCCATAGTGCGCTCAAAAATGTCGGAAGTGGAGAGAGCCAAGTCCGCCATACGCGAAAACGATACAATTTTCGGGAAAATCATTCGAAAAGAGATTCCTGCTAAAATTATATACGAGGATGATGAGGTTTGTCTTGTTGTTATTCTGGTTTCAGCGTTTAGTTCTTCCTTAGATGACCTATAAACTAACGATTTTACTAGTTCAACTAGAGTTGCTTCTTGGTCGGTCTTCTATTGCTGCAGTTTTTTAGGTAATGGCTTTTCATGATGTCAGTCCGCAGGCACCGGTACATTTCTTGGTCATCCCGAAGAAAAGAATAGCTATGCTGCAAGAAGTGGAAGATGCAGTAGGTTTCAACTACAGTAGACTGTAAAGTTTCATGGGTGTTCCTATGATTACGAGGAATAGATAGACGATAATCCAAGCTCCTGTATGGCTCTTTGTTATCGTAAACCTATAAAATGCTGCGGAGTTCCATGATTTCCATCCTCATGACTTTCATTTAGGATCAAGCTCTCCTTGGAAAGCTTATGGTGACGGCCACCAAGGTAAAGCATTAGCTATCTGTTTTAATTTCACAGTTTCATTTATTACCGCTTTTTCTAAAACTTATGCGGAAGTATTGGCAGAGACCTTGGAAAGATACAATGAACGTACTGTTCACTGCAATTTTCCGGATCCAGCTTTCGAATATGAACTTTCGTATCTGTTCATAGATGTAGTAATTCAGAACGTGAATGGAAGAAATTGTAACATAACAACGGAGGTTAGAACTCTGTTGTTCCTGGGGTTTAGTGTAGTATGAAGAACCTTATTGTTTGTGCTATAGGTAGCTCGTGAACTCGATCTAGAAAATGGCTACCGTGTCGTAGTAAACAATGGACCTGATGGTTGTCAGAGCGTTTTTCATCTACACCTCCATATTCTTGGTGGACGTCAGCTTGGATGGCCACCGGGATGAAGCTAGATTTAGTTATGCAATATTCTGCGCTTTTATAACAGTTAATATGTTCCTTTTACATTTACACTGGACATTCTTTCGTTAACACAGGTGTAGATCGCTACTGGTCTTGATATTTATTGTTGTTTTCAGGTAAAGTAATAAAGGATTGGTCATTTTTACCTTCTTTAAGTAGTTTCTACCAGAATTTGGTGACCCTTCTGTTGGGCAATATGTCATAGTTTGCTTTGTGTTAAACTGCTACTTGGTATTTGAGGAAAATTCAACAGTGGTTTAGTTCGATAATGGGAATGCGCCCTTTGTCTCCTGATTAAACGTCGTTTTCATGGTATTACTGCTTTCCGCTAATAGATTTTCTTCTTAATATTTTTGCTGCATTTCAAGGCATCTGGTGTATTAGTAATGGGTGAGTGTGGCGCAGCGGTCGGAAACGCCTTGCAACACGCACATGGGATCGGTCCCAGCGCCTATGGCCCACTAAGCCTTCCATCCCTCCGTGGTCGGCGATTGTTACCAGACTTGTCTGGGAGGATAGCAGCACTGGCTCGACACATCGATAGGCCACCGCGAGTCATTGTAAAGGCCAAATATTGCATTCAATCACCTGCAAAAAATTCTTAATGAAGTCGAATGCATGACACATTCTTCAGGGTTTGATCAACGCCGATAGCTTTACTCCTTTATCCCTCTTGGTATTACAATTTACAGTAGCACCAGCGTAATGTGTAATATTAATAGTAATGATGGAACAGTGAGTTCCACTCGTAACAGCAGAGTTCTGAGGAAGGCGAAATCGTCGAGATGTTAGCTATCGACCAGCAACAACAACGGCAACAACTTATACCAACTTCGCATCTCCTCAACGAGATCAGTTCATACAACCTATAGATAGATGTAATAACAGTAATAGTTCAATCGTTTCTCTACACCTTACAGATGGTATTGATTTATTAGATATTCCATATCCCGATTCAGTTTTTCTGAAGAACGCCTGCGTTTCCAGTCTTTTCTTTCTCAAAGGTGAACTACCTCGCTCTTTTGCTGTGTTATTACTCCTTTTACGCGATATTCATAGCACACTCTTGCTAAAGTAGAAACAGCACTCATTTATAGTTCTTTGATGTCATCTACCGTCACCTACTGTAAACTCGGTCACTTAAGCAGTCCTGGTGAGCACCGGTCCATGTGCATCAAACTCAGTGATTCACGCAATATTCTGTGCTATTGTAAGGGTTAATGCGTGTCCTGGTTAACTACATTAGACATTCGTTTGCTAAACTGGTATAGATCTTTATTGATTTTGAAAGATATTATTTGTCATTTCCAAGCAGAATGGCGCAAGATTGGTCACTTACTCACTTTCTGAGTAATTTTTTAGAATAATTTGTGGTCATTCCTCTACCTGCAATGTTTTGGCTAGCTTTGCGTTAAAGTATTATTTGGTATTTTAGAAACTTCTCAGCATAATTAAGTTCGATATTGGAGATGTGCAATTTGCTTTCTGACAAGACGGCCTTTTTATGGCATTAGTGTGCCTCTTAAGCAATTTTCTCTTTGATGTCTTAGTTATATTTCACAGTATATGATATAATTCCTTTCAGCGGTTTACCTTCTCGTCATGGCTGGGAGGTATTCCTGGGTGTCGGACTGCGATGTACGGCGGGGTCATTCGTCCCCACAGCAGGGTCTCCCAAACAGAGGAGTGCGGCGTTTCCATCAGGAAGCCTAGCCAATAGTAAATCAATACCAGGTTCCATCTGATCCGTCGTGGTATCAAACTAGTCGCATGGTGACAAATCTCCCTCTGATACACAGCACGGCGACTACCAGGGGTGGTGACAGTCTGGAGCAGACTTTGGGTAGGCTGATCTCGGGACTCCAGGGAACCACACTAGTTAAACCAGCAAAACTCCGAGATAATGGAAATTTTGTTGAGGCGCGCACAATCAGTGAGGATGAGCCATTCAAGTATCCAAGTAAGTATATAATTATGTGTAATAGCAGTGGCGTATAGTGTATAAGAGCAATAGTCCAATCGTTACTATCGACCTTGAAGATGGTTTTGGTTCCTTAGATATTCCATACGTTACTTGTCAGGACGCAAAGTTCGTTTTACATGGAAAACCACCAAGACCATGTTACTGTTCAAGTGAGGGATCTTCGCAATGCCAACAATTACCGGCCAATCCGCTTTCTTTCCCTTGTTTGAAAACCCTTTACTTGAGCCATACTAAACAATTGATAGAACACTGGCCGAAGAACGGCCTTGTTAACAAGTATTGTTTTTAGAAACGATTCAGTACGTTGGTTCACATGGTGGAGATCAGCCGCGCAGTCCTACGTAGATGAGAAATGACATTCCTAACACCAAATACCTGGAGGGCTTACAAAGGAAGGCGAAATCGCCGAAACGTCAACTATAGTGAATGATTAGATGCTACAACAACAATCTCGCTTTTGATCATCAAGAAAACAGTGAAATTATTAATCAGTGCCGAGATTAAAAGAAAGTCGAACCTGGGACTTGCTACATGATTCATAACACTTTATGCTGTGAATATTTATTGAGTACTCATAATGTTTATTCATGTAGTGAACAGAAGACCATTGTTGGTTTACACAATCGGATCCGCCCAAACACAGTCTTCCTCGATCTAAAAATACTTGCACAAGTGAGATCTACAATAACTGAAATAAACGAAATCACGAAAAAGAGAATGTTTTGAGGGAAGAGTGCTGCATTTCCTCTGCCATTAGTGTGTAATTGGCTACATGTCAGTCTATCAAACTGTCAAATGCTAAAAGAATTTTATGACGTACTCTGGTAGCATGTGACATAACAAGTCTAAATTTCACCTTGAGGTTGTATTTACTGCCACCGCTCTTGTAGGCAGAAGTGACGACACGGAACCATCCTTCTTCTCCCCAAGGAGTACCCCAGGAATTACGTCCTATCCAGTACTCCGTTCCATTTTCATCAACACCCCATCCGTGTACTGAGATGATGTGGTCGATGTCGTCATTGGTCACTTCCTGAAAAGAAAACCTGTTAATAAGTAAAGCAGATAGATTTCAATGTAACAACAGTAAAAATAAGGTTCTTATAAATTGTTTGGTTACCACTATGTTGAAAGGAAAATCTTGCGGAACCTCCTAAAATTATTTTGTAAAGAAACTGTTAAGGAATAGTGGCCAGGCTCTCGCATTCGAAATGAACTCGAATGTTGCGGTCACCCAAATGATGGCCTCAGAGCTGATTAAGTGACCTTAATTATCGGAACATTGCATTTACCCTACATGAGTACGTCGCTCATTTTCGCTAAGCAAGTTGTGTAAACGTCCAAGAATCATTTCTGCTCAGTCAATAAAAGAAGGGTCTCAGTAAGAACTTATACCTGAAGAAGAGAACAAGATTTTCTCTGTGTCCCTCACAAACACAGGAGTCAGTGGACCTTACATTATACGAAACAAGTCGGGTGCTTCAGAATAAGATTGTTCTCCACAAATGACGAAACTTGAATGTACTATGAACAATTCCCAAGACCGACTTTCTGTTAATCTCGGCATTAATTGATAATTCAATGTTCTTCTTCAATAAGCAGACACGAGGTTGTTAATATAGAATTTATTAGAATACAGTAGCTGACGTTTCGGCGGTTTCGCCTTCTTCAGAGCCTGGAAAGGTTAAATTGAGATGCGATCTACTCAGCCAAACACTTTCATAACCCTAGCAGATAAAACTTGACAAATCGATTTGCATTCCCATTATGCGGTCATAAAGGATCGTTAGACATGGTTGACGAATATCTGGCCTTTACAATGACTTGCGATGGCCTACCGATGTATTAATTCAGTGCTCCTATCTTTCCAGACAAGCTTGGTACCAATTTGCCGATTTCGAAATGTGGAAGTTCTAGTGGAACCGAGCGGCTGAACCGAAATAACGACCAGCGCTGGCAGTGAACTTCGAATCTCTACATTACATGTGCCCTTTTTTGAATGTGTTAGATGGGTTAAAATATTTTAGCTATTCTGAAACTGTCTTATTGAGCCATCGTCGCAACATGTGTGTGACCATTGTCATACTTGCAGGAGCTTCATTGTATCAAGAAGGCTGTTTTCGAATGATGTCCATCAAATTCTATAGATTAGTAGCTTGCAGCCACCAGCGTGTTAAAATTAAAAAGTGTTCATAGTACAATGTTTTTCTTCAATAAGCAGACACGAGGTTGTTAATATAGAATTTATTAGAATACAGTAGCTGACGTTTCGAAATCGAATGTATGCCACTTTCCTCAGGGATTGATTAGTGCGGAAAGCTTTATCTTTCATCCTTCTTTGTCCGACACTTCCAAATATGTTTCTCTTCCGCAATATCGTTCATTCAGAGTCCTTCAGAGCGAAGTGCACTATCGATGATCAAAACGTAGGGAGGGCGACAATGAGCGTTTCCTCGTTTCGCAATTCCGATGTGGGCCTTCGTCAACGCATCGAGTCGTGTCCACTGGAGTACCGACCTCCCTCGCCAAAGCCGTTTTTGATGCTCCCAATCGACTTGAATCATCGCAGATTTGAGGTAGACGAAGCGTTACCCAAATAAAAGCTTTATAACAATCTCGCCCACTTCCATGTATTCCTCTAAACGTGGAACTTTTGCAAATTTTGCACTAGGGTCACCTAACTTGACAAGAGGTGAGTTTGACACTTCTATTCAGAAGCCCAATAAGAATTAAAGTATTAAGTGAAGTAATGCCAAAAATCACCGCTTTTCGGGAAGGTGTTCGGTGTCGCACTGCAGTGGATAATGAAGTCACTCGATTCGGATGAGAAGGGCATACGTATTGATGGAAAGTTCCTACCAAACCTTCGTTTTGCTGACGACATTGTCATCTTCTCAAGAAGTAATAGCGAAGCAGAAGTGATGATCAACGAGCTCACCGAAACGGGGAAAACGATCGGACTTCGCATAAATCGAAAGAATACTCAGTTCATGAAAAACCCATGGTGCGAAGGCGAAAAAATTGAATTGGATGGCTCTGCAAAGACCACCTCGCACGTTTACCTTGGGCGATAAATGAACATGGGAAACAACATGAACGAGGAACTAGATAGAAGAAGGAGAGCAGGTTGGGCCACATTCAGGCCTCTCAAAGAACCCACCAACCAACTGAAGGACCCGAAAATCCGCGCTCATCTCTTTGATTCTACGGTCCTCCCAGCGCTCTTTTATGCTACAGAGACTTGGGTTGATACTTCAACTACGTCAAGAATGTTTCGAACTACTCACAGAGCGCTTGAGCGATGTCTTCTGAAATACAACCGGCACTCTCAATATGTAGCCGGAGTGCGAAGCTCTAACCTTCGAAATCTGTCACACCTTCGAGATCCAGGAGAATATACATCGACAGCGAAACATAGTGGGCCGGTCACATAATGAGAAGAACAGACGACAGATGGACGAAAAGAACACTAGAGTGGACTACAACAGAATGCAAACGTGTTCTTGGACGACTATACGTTGGGCGAACGTGCTCGTAAACAAAGTTAATCAGCTGTACCCGCATCTGCAGTTGTTTTACAGATCACGGTATAAGACGCAAGCGCTGCCGTGCTCGAACAAGAGCACCACCATGGTCTACGAATGCGAGAGAAAGGAACGAATGGCATGTGTGCTGGGGTCCGCACAGCTAGTGAAGGCGGACCGTCCAAGTATTCAAGTAAGTTCCGGGAAGGAGCCTAATTAGTAAGGCACCAAACCTCTCTGCAACTCGCAAGTCCAAAAAGTGTAGTCTGATAACTCCATGACACAAATTCTTCGGGATTCTACAAAAAAAAAAACCTTACCAAATCACTAATTATTTTATACGACTTTTCTTCACATCTGCTATGCGGATCCCCGCATTTCTCACATTCGATTAGTTTCCTCTTATCCAGTATCCACGAAGGTTTTCTAACTTTTACGTGTGGTTTCGGCTGCTCCATTTCATCTTGAATGTTGTACAATGCTGGTCGAGTCGATTCTCACTGGAGCGCTGAGATAGCCGGGCTCGATGGTTTTGGATTGAAGAGATTTTTTGCCGGACAAGTCCTGTACCAATTTTCCGACCCCGGAAGGATGAGAAGCTAGGCGAGCCTGGGACTGGATCGAACCAGCACTTTGCCTGTGATGATTGGCATCACTACTACTGTGCTATGCGCCCCTTCATATCAATAAGAAAACAGCGCGAAGCTTTCGACGCCGCTCAACCGCTCAGAGATGTGCTATGCATTTGAGTTCATTAAGCATCGTTAGAAGTGATTGGAAGTGTATCTGGTCCACATATTGATTCGCGGTTGCCCAACCGATGTATCGAATCAGTGCTACTATCCTCCCAAACAAGTGTGGTACCAATTTGCCGACACGGGAGCGATGAAAGGCTTACTGAACCTGGGGCGCCAGATCGACCCCATTTGTACTGCAGGGCGCCATTGACCACTGCGCTACATGTGCCCCCAAATCAAATCAGTAATATACCGGTTAAATAGGAGCTGTACAGAGGCACAGGTCGTAAAGATAGACTACTCGAGTATTCGTGTTATATACTGGAACCGCATTCTAGTAAAGTGGCAAAACTGTAAAGTTTGATCAAAGTGTTTCCTATCTTTCTTCTCTCTAATTTATCCTTTACTTTTAGTGTAATAGCACTCACCTTGTAAACACCTCCATTATAACTCTCGAACGCTTTCGTAGCTGCAATTCCACAGGCTATCGGTCCATGATGGTAGATTTCAGCTTTCATTTTATTAAGCCCATGCACACCTCCTGAAATATTCTCTTATTTTCCACACAGGATTTCATCTAAGTACTCGGAAACATCTTGCAAGATTTCAAGACCTCTTTAAGAACAATAACGAAAGGGAATTAGGACGCTTTGTTAATATGTACCAGCCTGGAATAACTGTGTATTGTGCCCAGAAACCGATTGTCACTAGTTCATTGGCAACGATTGTGTAATTGCCTTAGTGTTCTGATTAAAACCCTTGCAAAGTCTCACCATACTCTTTGACTTTGTAAAGAGTGTAGTTCTTAATAGAAAAGCAGTCTCCTGGCCAGCACGATCCGCAGCGATTGTACGGATCACATTCTAAATAGAATTTATTAGACCTGCAGACCAACACGACGATGTGAAATGGGCCTTATACACGAAAAAGTCAACTTTTAAGTAATAAAGTCACTACTGAGGTCGGAATCCCTTCTTACTAATAGGCACTCTAAAGAGTTTGTAATTACGCAGAAGACAAATAACAATGCAGAAAAAGTACTTAAGTATTGTGGACGCATGACAAGACCAAAACAGGAACCCTGAGAACAAACCACTTACTTCCGTCTCTAGCCTGATAATTGTTACATGTTTCATGGGGAATTCCATGTTCATGAGCGTATTTGTATACTCCACCGGGTTCTCCTCCACTTGCACATGTTCCGGCTCCAGAGCAGTCGATTACTTCCTATAAGTTGAATAAAAAATTTTGTAGAACTATCCTCACCTGTTCATCTACCTCTCTACTTATATGACCCAACTTCACACACAGTGCAGATTCCAGCAATGTTTTCTTCCGGTTCGTCGTCTCTCATACGCAATCCACAAAGGCTTTCAGAATTGCGTATGGATTTGGCTGCTATTTGAGGACTTTCTACCTTCACGAATTTCGTTGAATGCTGGTAGACGTAAATTTTTCCGGAAATCCTGTGATAGCTCCACTAGATTGCAGCGTCGTCAAGTTTTTCCCATACTAGCTTTTCGAAGACAGCGATAGAACGAATCTGCGGCACTATTGGAAGGGGAGGGTGGATAGGCCAGGTGTGTGATCGAGCCAGAGATCATACGCGTATTATTCTTGGAAGTCTTTAACCATTATGCTTCCCAACCTCTTAACACGGCCTAAGGTCGAGTCGTTAACACTACTGTTATCATAATTTGGTAGGAAAGTTGCTGAATTTAACCTATTGGTGACTGTACTAGTTTCTAAATAACTGTGTGTAATTTCCGATCACGAGAGTACTTGACCACTTAAGGATTTTAAAGATTGCAAAAGCTTAGACTTTCGCTATCGGTGCATATCATAGCCCTTTTAAGATATCTTAGTCTTAAATTTGCTTAAAATTTACTTATCCACGGGAAAAAAATCCTCAAACAAAGATCTTCAAAAAGCTTGAAGCAAGTGCGGCATCGACTCACAATGACGCCTCAGGCCTATTGAAAATGCGAATCTCGACAAGGAAAGCAGAAAATACGACCGCAAATCGTCGTGGTAGAATAGCCAAGCCTTCACCTTAGAAACATGGGAAAGGCGCATTCCGATCCACAATGGTGAAAGAAGATCTGGAAAAGCTCTACCACGGCCATCTCAGTAATCCGGGGAGAATCAATTCGACCAGCATTTAGCGACATTCATAAAGAAGACTAAAATCCTCAAGTGGCAACTTAACATGCACATAAATCAGAAGACCTTAGTAGATGACAGATAAGAAGAAAGGAGTCGAATAAAAGAAATTTTGTGGTCCCCAAAGTGGGTATGAATACGGGTCATAAAAAATTCCTAGGAAACTAAGTGCACCCATCAAGATAAGATCCTCCACGTTATCGATTATGGACGTTCAAGCGTTTATTGACATAAGGTATAGGGCCCCAATACCAATTATTGATTTCAATTACATTAATAAAATCTATATTTTAAAATTCATCACTCCACCTGCACAGAAAGATACGCCTGTGGCCATGCGTTCTTTCGATGTATGTTTATACGATCAGCAAGAGCAGATGTGGATCCTGAACTGATGAAGAGTATGGAGTTTCCGAGTTCAAAATGATAAGAATGATATAGCAAAATCAGTCAAACAAGCAATTTCAGTGATTGCCACATTCACTTCTGTTTGTTCAAATTGAATATGGACGGCATTCTTTTCGAATACCGAACACATGAGGTTATAACAAAAGTAGATATGAAGACAGTAGATTACGGTGCAAATGTCAACAGATAACAACGAAATGTAAAAGCTAAGCCTTTGACAAGACTCTGCGTACTAAAGAACAATGAAGCTAACTAACCGAACGCCCAACAGGAGCCACAATCTGAAAATGGAGATTTTTTTTATAATTTCAAAAGTGCATTGTACTCAACTCTTTGACAAACTTTAGGATATATTTACTACAGTTTTTTATAAACTACTAATCAGAAGCACGGAAAAATATGTTCTTACGAATTGCTCTTTTTAGCGGACTAGAGCTTGGTATAGATGTTCTCATTGTTCCCAAGACCGACTTTCTGTTAACCTCGGCATTAATTGATAATTCAATGTTTTTCATCAATAAGCAGACACGAGGTTGTTAATATAGAATTTATTAGAACACAATTGCTGACGTTTCGGCGGTTTCGCCTTCTTCAGAGCCTGGAAAGGTCAAATTGAGATGTGATCTACTCAGCCAAACACTTTCATAACCGCATAATGGGAATGCAAATGGTCCGGGAAATATTACGCGCAAATTAGAGGGTTGGCAATGGGACAGCGACTGGCACCAACCCTTGCCGTTGTCTTTATGTCTAAAGTGGAAGCACCAGTAATCGATCTCACGCCATTAATCTACTGTAGGTATATAGATGATTGTTTTGTCATCTGCTCCACACAAGAGGAGATGGACAAATGCTTTAAGTTATTGAATGAACAGTGAGAGTACATAAAATTCACCAGTGAGAAACCGAAAGAAAACTGGCTTCCATTTCTAAACCTTCAAATTAACCTATCCGAGAACGGCTACAACACAAAATGGTATCGAAAGCCGAGCAGTAAGAATATAGTGGTTCACTACCGCTCCTCTCACCCTTCACACACTAAAAGAGCGCTTATAAGAAATATGTTTCGAACCGCCTCCAGCGTGTGCACAGGTAGAGAGCAGAGGGAAGAATCCTCGAAACTGGCGCGACAAATAGCCATCTCAAATGGTTACGAAACTGTAGCTTCTCAGGATAGGCATCGAGGAAATCCCACGCCCCAGAGCGATAATTCTAGTGAAAACAAGGCTCCGTTTCTGTTGCCCTTTATTTCAAACGAAATAAGTGCAGCTATAAAACGCTGCTTAATAAGGGCCGGTCTAGAGAATTTCGTAAGAGTGATAGAAATACCACTGGACACTCTAAGACGCCAGCTAGTTCGCAACCGCCTGTACGACCGTCTATGTACAACAAAAAACTGCATAATCTGCTCAAATGGTAGAGACGGTGATTGCATGAGTTCGGGTACAGTCTATCCGATCTCTTGTAAAGCGTGCGGTCACGAATATGTTGGCGAAACGGGTAGACCGCTCTGCGTCCGCATAAAAGAACACCTAGTCGGTAAATCTAAACTAAAACAAAATACTCCACTAGGCGCGCATAGGATGCAAGAACACAACGGAGAAGATTTTGAGGTAGGAGTCACTATCCTTACGCAGGAATCGAAAACATCAGCGCGAAAAACTCTTGAAGCGTTTTGGATCAATGCCAAAAATTCAAAAATGAACCGCAAGGAGGNGGACACTCTAAGACGCCAGCTAGTTCGCAACCGCCTGTACGACCGTCTATGTACAACAAAAAACTGCATAATTTGCCCAAATGGTAGAGACGGTGATTGCATGAGTTCGGGTACAGTCTATCTGATCTCTTGTAAAGCGTGCGGGCACGAATATGTTGGCGAAACGGGTAGACCGCTCTGCGTCCGCATAAAAGAACACCTAGTCGGTAAATCTAAACTAAAACAAAATACTCCACTAGGCGCGCATAGGATGCAAGAACACAACGGAGAAGATTTTGAGGTAGGAGTCACTATCCTTACGCAGGAATCGAAAACATCAGCGCGAAAAACTCTTGAAGCGTTTTGGATCAATGCCAAAAATTCAAAAATGAACCGCAAGGAGGGGTGTCTTGTCATCACGCGGTGACCTAGCGCCATACCTCAGGCTGATCCAATGACCTGACATGGACCCAGTTATCGACCATGTATTACTCTGTGCGGCGGCTATCCACCAACTTACTTAAATACAACAAATAAACGGTAGGTGTTTGAATGAAGCTGTTTCTTATGCGAATGCAAATCGAATTGTCAAGTTTTATCTGCTAGGGTTGTGAAAGTGTTTGGCTGAGTAGATCGCATCTCAATTTGACCTTTCCAGGCTCTGAAGAAGGCGAAACCGCCGAAACGTCAGCAATTGTGTTTTAATAAATTCTATATTAACAACCTCGTGTCTGCTTATTGATGAAAAACATTGAGTTCTCATTGTTGTTGTTGTTGCAACAATGACTGACGTTTCGGCGACTTCGTCTTCCTCAGAGCCATGCGGCTGAACCACCCGTGTGCAGTTCACGAGGGATGGTATGGGAAAATGATGATGCTATGGGAAAATAGGCCTAAGGGAAGTTTATCACAGAAATAACATAGCTGTGAGCAATATGTGCCTATGATGGAGACATTGAAGAGTATAGAGTGCTAGAATCTGCAAAATATTAGGTAGAAAGCAAGGAGGAGGTTGTTTTACTATCTTGTATACTGTGATAATCCGGTCAGTGCTAATCTCACTATGCTGTATACTGTAACATTACAATCAATACTAAGCTTATTCCCCTTTATACTGTGTTATTAAAGAAGTGATAAGAGTCCAAACATTGATCAGTGGAGGATAGCAAGAGTTCTTAACAAGATCCATTCACGTGTGTTATCTTGTTGAAGCTCCGTCTTGGTCCCTCTATTCAATATTTCTAGAATTCTTTTTCAAACAAGGAATATCTCTTCCAAACATATTTCTCCACCGAAATTGTTCATCTTTTGGTGAAAGGAAACGGATTCCACTAAACACAATCAACTCCCAGTACTACACTCACAATGTAAATAAAGACGTGTGCAATGCGGTGGTCAGAGGTGACATTCAAAACACAGGTAGTCGTTGGATCGATCCCGCATACTAAGCCTTGCATCACTCCTGGGTCGACTAGTTGATACTAGACATGTCTGGGAGGACAGCAGCATTACTTTGATACCTCAGTAGGGCATTGATAATCATTGCGTAGGCCAGGCGTTCCGCGCATCCTAATAGTACGTACGTGATGGAGTACTTCGACGTTACTGCTCTTTATACAAATGTGTCGAATGACTACAAAGGAACAAAAAATATGTATAGCCTCTCGATTCAGCAGCTTATAACCTCCTTAAAATAGTGTCTGAAGTACTCAATATCAGCTGGTCCGAGAAGTATTTTGCACAGATTAGAGGACCAGCATTGTGACTGTGTCTAGCACCAAGCCTTACCGTTATCCTTTTGTCAAATGTGGGAGCACCAGTTATCGGTCTTCGGCCATTACTCTACTGTAGACATTTAGATGATTGCTTTGTCGTTTGCTCAACCCACGAGTAAGTGGGCAAAGGTCTTGAGTTATTGGATGAACAATCAGAGTACATTAAGCTTATTCGAAAGAAACCGAAAGGAAACTGGCTTCCATTCAAATCAACATGTCCAAAAACGGCTGCACCACCAAGTAGTACCGAAAACTAAGTAACAAGAACAGTTGTTCACTACCCTTCCGCTCACCACTCATACACAAAGAGGGTGGTTGTGAGAAACATGTTTCCGACAACGCACCATTGTGTGCACAGGAAGAGAGCAGAAGAAAGAATCTGGGAAATTGGCCGACAAACAGCCATTTGTAATGGCTAGGAAACGTTGTCACCGTAAAATAGTTGTAGAATAAGAGCCAGATCTTCAAACGATAATTCTAGCTATTCTCTTCTCTTCTCTTCACTTCCCTGATCTCTTACAAAGCATATGGGGACGAATATGTTGTCGAATGGGTAGACCACTCCGCGTTTATGAAAATAAACACCTCGTCAGTAGACGTGTTGTTGAACCAGATGCTCCACTAGGTGCGTATAGGACACAGGGACATAAAGGGAAGATTTTGAAGTAGAAGTCACCATTATCGCACAGAAATCGAATACTTGAACGCGCAAAACTCTCGAAGCATTATGGATAAACCCCAAGAATCCTGAAATCAACCGCATGAGGAATACCTCGTAATCATGCGTGATCCCACAAGGTATTTAAGGCCGATATTTTGATGTGACGTAGGCACATTACACTTCTATGTGAACTCTGTGTAGTTAGTCTCCAGGTGACATACTCAGTGGAAGAATCATAGAATGCGGAAGAAAGTATTTTGTTTTCCATGGGATTGAAATCTGGGTTTCTCGGTTTTTCTGTTGGGGTTATTGAGCGCTTTTGGCTTACTAAATTGCAATCATCTTGACTTTTCCAAGCTCTAAAGAAGGAGAAATTCTCTGGAAAGTCAGCATTTGTGAACAAAGAGTGCAGTAACAACCTCGTCCTTGCTTATCAAGAAAACAGCGAACTATTAATGATTGCCAAGGCTAATAAGAAGTCGGTCTTGGGAATTAATTGGATACTAGTCCTATTATTTTTCATTAATGAAAGTAGAATGAACTCCGCTCTACACTGATTCCCTTGTAAACCATTAGCAAGCATCTTAAACCTTAGTATCACTTGCAAAAAATAATTACACTGTGGAATATGTTGATTGCGATCCGCTGAGGCGTAATTGACGCCATTTACATTTCGCCAATCCCACTCACGTGGAAGTTTCTCGTAGGCGTAATTTTCGTGCTCATATATTCGGCGGTGTAGCCTTAAATAAAACAGTAGTGACCAAACTCAATAGCACCAGATGCTGAGAATTATGAGCTTACATAACACGGTGATGTTTGCTACACATCTGACCGTATGCATTGATTCAAATGCGCATTTTCCAACTTCCTGTTTTACTGCAAAGAATTTATTTTGATGTAGTTTTTGCGCCTAGTAGCTCATTCTACAGCTTATCCAACATAGCTTGTGGTCTTTGAAAGACATTAGACTTCATAGTCTACAAAAAGGCTCACTTCGGACGAGTTTCCAATGCACATAGCCCGCGACGAATAATATGTGCTGTTTCCAAGAAGCTGATATAGAAAATTAGGCCTAATTGAGTATGCATATACAAAAGATCTTGTAGATGATTTCACAAATACTATTATCGGCTTTCATCAAGCGAACGCGTTCTTTATTTATACGCGATCAAACTCGTCTAGAAAAATAATGCCACTCGAAAAAAACGCGACTTACAATATGGTGCTTTTCCTGTAAGCTCGTTGGTCAAAGGATAACCCGTGACGAAGGAGTAAAGTAGGTGTGCTCCTTCGTAGGGTCGAATGAACCCGTTTGTAAAACAAAGGCAAAGCGCATCACACTTTTGCTATTATGCATTGTGATGTGTAATGTATAACGATTTTACTCTCGCTAGGTCTAGCTGGTAGCCCACTGCATAATGATCGAAACTTCTCAAATTGGTGACGCTGCTGTAGATGGTCCACTGTTTTACAAAAACTGCAGTATAATTGCATTGAAACTGTGGTGGTTCCAATGGATGGACCATAATTAATGTAGTGGTGGGATGGTTTTCCGATCACATAAACGTAGTTATCTATGTACATAATACTGTGAGTGAGCTAGCCGTCAGTATGCAGATAGTAACCTGTACGTCAGTTCAACCAAACGTCTCCATTCAAATGACTAGACACTAAAAAGGAATCAATTCAAAGCCACTCGCGACAAACTCTGGAGTATTCCAGGAGAGTGTGATAAGCGATCTATTAGTAAAGGAAGATTCCAAGGCGTAGCTCTGTGAGCCTTCTGCGAGCAAACTTTTAGGAAGAACATCCAGAACAAAGAGCTTCGTAGCAAAATTGCGATACACTTTAAGCAAGCAGCCAACTGTGGCACGTCAGAGAAGACTGCATTCGTGCCCAGTGGGATCCCTTGGTCGTAAATAGAACAACAGGTGATACATGTGATATACATGTTTACCCAGTTATTTGTTTATATTTCTTTATTTTGACCTGCACATAAAGACGTAATCCTAGAAAAATACCTGTGCGCGTGTGTGACACCTGTCTTCTTGTAACATCCACGAAGATTGTATCTAAAAGTGAAAAAATTCTAGGAAAAGATCCAGTTTTTCATGAGACCATAGCTAGAGGAACACCTGTAGTAGTTACATAGAAGTAAGAAATAATAAAGAATCCGATAATAAGATGAAACTAGACAAAAATGCAAGTTGTTTCAAAAGACGACAGCTAAAGAAACAGTAGTAATAATTTTATAGGAATAATAAATGGTAAGGAATCAACGCGTTTGGCGTTGTGGTTAGAGTAGGCCTGCGACACACACACGGGGTCGACCTCCGCGTCCGTGGCTCACCAAGCCTTCCATCTCTCTGGAGTCGCAAATTGGTACCAGCCCGGGAGGATAGCAGCACTGGCTCGATACATCGGTAGGCAACCGTGAGTCATTGTAAAAGCCAGATATGGGTTCAATCACTTCCAACGATGCTTAGTGAAGTTGAATGCACGGCACATCTCTCCAGGATTGATCACCGCCGAGAGCTGTATCCTTTATCCTTTAAGGAGTCGAATAATAAGATGAAATGAGTCAAAATTGTTTCCATTAGAAGTAAACATATAGCCCCCATGATGAGATAAACTGTCTACTTATTTATACCCTTATTTGCCAAAACCGGACATCTATGTCTACGTGATGCGTAATGAATGCTTCCAAACATTGGAGTTTCATTAAGAAATTTTCTTTGAATGAATAAAAATCAAATTTTTACCTGTTATTAGCAGCAGATACAAACAGAATTATTGAGGAGAAGACGAAGAGTACTAAATGCATGTCGTTAGATGTAACGTTGACTGATAAGCCTTTCCTGGCTTTATATTTCATCGCCTATCAGCACCACAGTAGTGAGTGACACGTGCTCGTCATATCAGATTCTATACGGAATACTGGGGACAAACGAAAAGATTTGTCAGGAAATCACCACCTTAATTCAGTAGTAATACATCATATCGGTCTGAAATTCTGAGTGACAAGAGCTGTATCAGCGAATGTAAAGATTTTATGACCTGAAACTTGTAGAAAAAAACGAAGAGATTGAATAAAAACAGGAAAAGCAAAGTGGGGTAAAACATTGGGTTTATCCTGTTTTTAATGAGTCTCGTCGTTTTTTCCTACAAGTTCCAAGCCATAAATCGCAGCATCGAGAGTATATGTTACGGTAAAACCTTCGTGGTAGGACTATTAGAAGTTCTGATGCATTCCCTGTGTCCTGATAACTAAACATGCACAAAAATTTGAGACGTTCATGGACATACCATCAAACGCTGTGTATTCTCGAAGACGACTCAATCTTGGATGTTAACAAAGATTAAGGATTCCTCTGATTTGCTTTGCTACATCGAAGCAGAATGGCCGGCATACTAATGATAGGATCTGCTGCCATCATAGAAATCGCTGTTCTTTTGAAAGAATTAGAATCCCATGAAGGTAAATTTCTCTTTACCTCACAAAGATCACCAACTACCCGTGGTTACAACCTGAAAACAGCTTAGTACGACGAGGAAATCTTGCACGACCGTACTTAACATGTCAGCAGAAGAGGCTCAAGTTTCACTTGAAGCCACGCAGGATGCTATATGCCTTCGTGGTTACGTTGCAAGACAACTAGACGAGTGGAGGAATTAGTAGAGCCTCCACATGCGAAGAAGGATTATTTAAGTGTCTAAATAAGTAATGGAGTGTTAAAAAGCTATCTACAGTCTAGGGCTACCCCAGATTTTACCGATATAATGAATCTCCAGAACCGTGGTTGACTTATGTTGAAGGAGAATCACTCGACGATACCAAGGGAATGGTGATGACCCTATAATATACAGTGCTAAGTGAATTACAGAACGTCATTCGTTACCGATAACACTCGCTTTTGCTATTCTGCTAGAGAATACTGACTAAAATTTAAAAAGTAGTTAAAATATATCGACAGCTATCTTCTCCTTTCTGAGGTTTAAATCGATGCCGCCTACCCGTAATGGTCTCATAAAAGTATGAAGAGTAAAAAAAATCACTCATCCAAGGTGCTATATCGTTAGAACATGGGTGCTTTTTATCCAAACAGTTTTCATCATCGCATGAGCGCACGCAGTGTAGTGGTTTTAGGTGCTCTGTACTACAAACCAGATCGATCGGTGATTGTACCCAGTGCCTGGGCTACGGCTTCACCATTCCCATGCTCGCAGATCGATGCCAGACTTGTTTAGTAGAATGAAAAAGCGCTGACTTGATAAGCGGCGAGCCCTCACAACTCACTGTTCAATCCGAATATGCATCGGATCATTTCTAACAATACTTGATGAAGTCGAATGCATGATGCGTCCGTCCTTTAAAGATTGATCTAAGCTGAACGTCTTTTTTAACCTTTTTATTGCAACGTTAACTTATTTATGCACTGTCTACTACAATTTTCTTTTCGTTTCGCCTTTCTCTCAGCTAGTTTTCTATCCATCAGTGCCATCAGCATTCACCTGTCAACAGGATTGATCTGCGGAGCACAAGTTGGCATTCGGCTCGAAGGACGTGTATGGTGTGGTGGTGAACACGTTAACCGGCAGAAAGGGTAGCAGCATGTTCGATTCCCACTGCAGCCACCCGCATTTTACTGTACTTTAACAAAAAGAGCACAGTTGGAAGTCTCGTACATTTCTCCGCTAATTTTTGAACACTTGTACCTTTAAAATGGTGTGATTTCATAAAATAAATTCTGTATTATCAACCAGTGGTCATTCAGGCAATCATTACGTAGTGGTCTGAACATTCTAACCCATTTGTGTTCTCGGTGGTGTAAAGAAGAACAAATTTTTACTGAACCAAACCTGATCACCCTTGTCATCTGTTTGCCACTGACCGTCGAGTGACTCTTGCTGGCGTTAGCGAGAGACCCAGGAACACCATATTCTTCCAAGATCTTCCTGAAAAAAGTCGACCATAGAATCAGTGGTCCTCTTGTTGTGGGCTTGATATCCGAAAGGACCCAATTGTTGATAACTCTTGTTAACCGCACACCATTAAGATGCATCACATTAGTGGACCACCTGATTTTATGTATTTTCGCGTGCATGAAAGCGTCGCCAATCTTCGATCATTGGCAGATGTTGTACCCTTCGATTTCGTTGCTTAATTCTGCGACACGGCGTACTGCCAGCATCATCTTAATTAGGCTTTGTTAACGCTGACCAGGCTTTCGTTATGCTCATGTAGGGTATAGTTCTTCGAGGCGTACGTTAAGGCAGTAAGAATCGTGATGTGGAAAAAATGGGCGTAGAGTGGCATGTAATTTGTCCTTTCAGCTACGTATTCAAAGTTTCGCAAGCTTGTCAAGCCGCTGGCATCCTATTACTCACTCCAAGAGTAATTTATTCATCATCTTAAGTCCACGATACAAATATACAGCACGCTACTCTGTGCGCGCTGGATGGTGATCTTCCTAATCTTGTAACCGTCAAGGTTTCGGGGTGGGTATTGCGGACGCTCTTACTTGCATTTCAGCCACTTATGGTCTACTCTTCTTTACATTTTTTTCTTCTTTTATCGCTCTACTGTAGGGTTTTGTAAGTTCGAACGTGAGCTGGCAATTGCCTACGGCGTCTGGAGATAAGGGGGACTACACGGCGCAATGACAACAGCTCCAGTGTTTCTGCAAACAGATGTCCATCGCTGATTTTCGAACCCTCAGATTTTTTAGCAATTATGTTGGACCTGCCAGTAGC